GACTTGGTCTTTGCCACAGCGGACACTGCTGGACTCGCCTACGTGAAGTCCGAACTGCTGATGAGACACACGTGCACAGACCTGGGTGAACTGCGCAGCTACCTTGGCTTGCAGATCACCCGGGACAGAGCACGCCGCACCATTACCTTGACTCAGTCACACATGGTGCAGCAGGTCCTTCAGCGCTTTGGCTTCACGTACTCCTCGCCTCAGGCCACTCCTCTGCCTACTCGCCACTCACTCTCAGCTCTGCCTTCGGATGAGTCCGTAGAGTCGAGTGGTCCGTATGCAGAGCTTGTTGGCTGCCTCATGTACCTGATGACCTGCACACGACCTGACCTTGCATACCCTCTGAGCATTCTTGCACGCTATGTTGCTCCTGGGAGACACACACCAGAGCACATGGCTGCAGCGAAGAGGGTATTGCGCTACCTGTGCAGTACATCGGGCATGGGGCTAGTGCTTGGAGGGCGGAGTCCAGTGGTCCTTACCGGCCACGCGGACGCTTCTTGGGCTGACGACCAGGCTACGCAGCGGTCGTCACAGGGTTACACCTTCAGCCTTGGTTCCGGCTCTGTCTCGTGGCGGTCTACTCGCTCGTCTTCGGTTCTCGGCTCCAGTTGTGAGGCTGAGATCTACGCCGGGGCCATGGCTGCACAGGAGCTTCGCTGGCTCACCTACCTGCTGACTGACCTTGGAGAGCCACCTCGTTCTCCTCCAGTGCTGTACGTAGACAACAAGGCCATGCTGGCCTTGTGTCGAGAGCAGCGCTTGGAGCACAGAACGAAGCACATTGCTCTCCGCTACTTCCTTGCTCGTGAGCTGCAGCAGCGTGGTCAATTGCGACTTGCGTACGTGGCCTCTGAGGCCAACACTGCTGATGTGTTCACCAAGGCACTCGCGCCTTGTGACCATCAGCGCTTTTGCACCCAGCTGGGTCTTGTGCCTGTCTTGCCTCACTTGCTCTCCTCTTGACTTCACTTGTACTGTGACATATATATATACCTGCTCTTGCTTGTCTAGTTTTATATATATGTCTGTACTCCTGCATGTGAGCTGGCCTCTGGCCCTGCCTTTGTGCTCGGACTGTGTGGTGACTTTGTGATCCACCCTGAGCTTGCTTTGCTTTGCTTGACTGGTCTTGTGACCCCTTGTTCTCCCCCACTTTGCCTATGGGGGTGTGTCAAACATTATATATGTTTTGCTTGTGTAGGCTACAGTGGGTTAGCCTATAGGGGGTACACAATTCTAGGGTTTCCTACTTGTACTCATTTCACTGCTAGTTCATTCATTCCTGTTCACTTATTCTCACAGGAGTTTCATCCATGTTTTTGGCCCACACTCGGTATTACCCAACAGGCTCTTGATATGGTCAAGTTGGCGTCCACCAACCGCTTGAACCATTGTCATGTATACATCAAATGAGTTCTTAGTCAATGATCGTTTCAATTGAATATATAATATCGCCTACGAATTGGGAGAGGAATAGCTAGAACATACAAGCTGAAATGTAACACCGAATCTCGTGCGACTCGGCTGAAATTTGGACTCGGGATTGCGTCCAATTTCCAAAGATCGAGCTCATAATTTCAGACTTTGCTGGGTTCATATATTCACACAAATCGTTAGTTACACGGATTTGTAGCGAGTGTAGAAAATTGTTCATTACATTCACTTGCACTCTTGCTATTTTTGTGAGTGCCCTGTCAACGGGATTAGTGTTTGGCCCCGTCCTCACTTGGGCGGAGCCAACCGCGGGACCGCGGGAGAACCGCGGGGCCGCGGGAGGACCGCGGGTGGGCCGCGGAACTGCGGGAGGACCGCGGGTACCGCGGAACCGCGGGAGGACCGCGGGAGGGCCGCGGAACCGCGGGAGGACCGCGGGTACCACGACACCGCGGGAGGACCGCGGGAGAGCCCGCGGGAGACCATGGGACCGCGGGGACCGCGGTGGCCGCGGTGGACGACCGGGGGCCAGGGGATACCCGGTCGACCAGGATACCCGGGCGACGTGTGCGAAGGTCGCCGGGAAGTGGTTTCAGCGAGGACGACGTCGGGGGTGGTATCCCGAGGTCGACGTGGCTGGTGGGCGCCGTCACGGGTGGAGTATCTGCGCTGGGCATGTGACGGGGAGTTGGGCGCCAACCAACTGCTCGCAGGTGCGTGCACCGGTGTCCCGCGGATGCAGCGCTGTGCAGCCGACTTACTGCAGCGTTGGCACACCGCGGACTGGCAACGTTGGCAAGCCGCGACTCTGCTCTGCTGGAGCGCAGTCAACCAGGTCGTGCTGGCACACGGTCGACCGTGCTGCGCTGGCAGCCGACCAGCAACCTTGCTAGGTCTGATGTAGTCTGTGTTGCCAATGTTGATGCAATCATTCTGAACCTTTGTTGTGATGTTTTCCTAGTGGAACTCTTGCCAATTTTCCCCGTGAACTAGCAAGCAGTGTTAGCACTTGGAAACGACTAAGGAACGAACGAACGCTACGATCACTCTTACCCCGTGCCTAGCCCGTAGTCTAGCTCCCGTTGCACTACTTATCTCCGCATGGTGCGGTGAGCGTAGAGCGACACCGCGACGAAACCTTCGGTTTAGCTGACTTCTCACTCACCTAGCTGTTCGTAGACTGGCAGCTGTGTTGGACGCCATGGTGGACCCGTAGTAGAGGCGGGTGTCGTGGACACCTTGGAAACACGGCTGGAGGACGCGAGGAGACGTCATGCGGCGAACGAGTACAGGACTCTCCCGCTGACGGTCGTCGAGGCTGGGATCCGCGCCTTGTGGGCAGCGGAGCACCCCCCTTCTCGGCGTGCATCTCCTCGACCGGTGAACAATGCAGGCGGCGTCGACGCGGGAGCCAACGCCGCGGGTGACCAAGTCAGTAGCATCGCGGGAGGCACGTCGAGGCAGCGAGGTGTGATTCGTGCCGATCAAGTCGGCGACGTTCAGGCGCGAGGGATGCAGTCGTCCGCGGCTGCAGGGGCCCCGCGAAACTACGTCCGAGGCAGACGGAGTGAATTGGCGCCAATGTCGGCGACACACGTGACCGCGGGAGGAATTGCGCCGAGCTACGGCTACTTCAAGTTCACGCCGAAGAGGATCTCGGACACCCCTCCGCTGGTCGGTCGTCCCGACATCCTCACGTGGAAGGAAGCCATCGAGCCCCAGCTGGAGATGGCCGGGCTGATAGGCTTCGCCCGCGGGACCGTGGTGACGTCGAAGGAGCACTACCCCGACCTGCGAGCGGAATTTCGCGCCGTGCATTTGCTGACCTTTACGGTCATTTCGCGGTGCTGCTCGCCGGGCGTACAAATCGCCCTGAAGTCGTGCTGGGAGTACCTCGACGCTGGCCACCGGGCGTGGCATTTCATTGAGTCAACTTACCAGGTCACCGACGACTTGTTCATCTCCCAGCTTGAGGGGCAGTTGACGCACCTGCGTATGGGTGACGAGGAGACCGCGACTGACTACTGCAATCGAGCTCGGCGAATCCTTGCCACCATTCGGATGGCTGGCGCGGAATACTCGACGGCTTCGTACGTCATGCACGTCATGCAAGGACTCCCGAGCAGCTACAATCTGCTGAAGCGGCTGTCGATGGCGCCGAGCACGCGGGCGACGCTCAACGAGGACACACTGGCCTCGTACATCGTGCAGGACGAGGCGATGCAGGAGGCTGAGCGGTCCCAAGAGCTCCTCGCGCAAGTCCATTTCGCGGCCCCCGCGAAGCAAGCTGGTCGCCCGGGACAGCGCGGGCAGTCTGCTGGCAGTCACCGCGGTGGCGGGAAGCCGGCGAAGGACGCTGACAAGCAGAAGTCTGCCAAGGATGGCGGTCGTGGAGGAGGAGGTCGACGTCGGAAATGCTGGCTGTGCGGTGATCCCGATCACCTCTCCTTCGAGTGCCCCGACCGCATCGATTCCGACGACGACGACGCGAAGGGAGGCCGCGGAAGGTCTGGACCGCGTCGAGGAAATTAGCCGCGAAAAGAGAAGCAGTCGACGAAATCGACCTCGGGGAAGGACGCCGACTCTTCCGCGGGTGGCAAAGGGCGAGGCGACAAGTAGGCGTCGTGCTCGCTGGTCGGTATCGTGGAGCCGACTGTCTCGCTAGCGCCGGAAGCTGGCGAGGATTTCCAGGTGGTGGCAGCAGCTGTGCAGGCAAACCCCGCGGTGGTTCTGCTCGACAGCGGCTGCTCGCACCACTTGATGGGGACGAAGGCGGCCTTCGTCGAATTGGGGCCGAGCGGCGACGTGAAGCACGTGCGTGGCTTCAATGGGGCGCTGCAGGACGTTCGCGGTCGTGGCACGGTTGCGCTGCAAGGGGAGGCCGGGAAGCGAGTGCTCATCTCCGACGTTCTCTACGTCCCAGGCGTGCAGGCGAATCTGCTTTCGGCTTGTCAGCTGAAGGAGAGCGGGGTGACGCTGAAGGACGACGGCGATCGGATGTTGCTCGTCTCCACGGCGGGCTGTGCAATGTCACGCGCGACCTGCGCCCACCCACAAACATAGGACAATGGGCTCAAAGAGGCCGCCGCCCGGATCCCGAACCCTCCGAGTCGCACAGGGAGATGCAGCTGCATGCGTACGCGCCTAGACCGGTCGAGGTCCTGCTCCCAAGTGCCTGGTGGGAAAAGCTGCTCGAAACAATCCTCCAAACAGCTGTCCTAATCCCTAAAAGCCTCAACCACCTCCGGACGCGGCGGCATAGTCCGGGCGAGGTAAATCGGCCGCGCTGAAACTGCAATGGCGAGGAGGTGTGAAGCCATCTGGGGGTGGTCGAGCAAGGGGAGCCATGGCAGTGGCGCCTGCAACTGTCGAAGCCGCTCCCGTAGCCGGACCACCTCCCAAACCTCCTCCCCAATAGGCACGCCCACCACAGTAAGACCCTCATCCACCCGCTGCATCCCCAATGGCAGTGCCCGCTCCACCTCCCTGCCCTCGCACTCCCAAAACCGGCACTTATGCGCCTGCACCTCCAGTCCCACCCACTCCAACCGCTCCTACAGCACCCCAAAAGCCTCCAGAATCCTAGCCGTTGGCCCCAAAATATAGGTATCGTTTGCATAGCTGAGGAAAAGCAGGTCCCCGAACTCCCTAGTAACCGGCTCCATCACCTGCTGCTGCGTGAACGCGAAAAGAAAAGGGCCGAGCAGGTCCCGTTGCCTCGATCCTCGTGCCGACTCGAGGCTCTGTACGAAAGGGCATGCTCGGAGGTAGAGGTCGCTAGGTGTCCCATAGATAACACGCAAGAATGGGATCATCCCTGAGAAAGGCGACTCCCGCAGCCCATCGAACATCGCATGACGGTGAAACGAATTGAAGGCGTTTGCGACGTCTATCTGTAGCGCACACCAGTCGGGGTGAGTGGCCAGCGCTGAATGGAAAGAATGGGTAAGAATCTCCGCCCCGACTCTGGTGCCCGCTCCCAACTGGTTGCACGGCAGGAAGTAGGAAACCATCGCAGGGCGGAGCGAAATGCAGAGAGCTCGAGCAAGGATACGAGGAAGCACCTCCCCGATCGCCACCGGCCGGACGTCGCCGATAAGCTTGAAAAGCCCGACTAGGTTGGATGCGGCGAGCCAAGGCCGAGCCCGCTCGGGGACCTGTCCCGCCACCCATTGGTTGAACACTTCCAACAGGTGGGAAAGGCAGGAAGGTTCAGTGAGGAAGGTGTCGCGCAGATGCTTTGTGACCCACCCCAATGGCCCTGCTGCTGAAGCTCGAGCGGCTGTATGGATAGCTCTCGCCAGGATGCCGGTCGTGAGTGAAGGCCGCTGAGCAGTATCGACGGTGAAATCGCGGACCCACTGTGGTACCTCGCTAGTGCTAGCCGGGTGCTTCTCTCGCAGCGACTGCACCATGGCCTCAGGCGGTCGAGCCAACTCCCTTGCTGTAAGGCAGGCCAATCCACGGCTCCACTCCCCCACTTTGCACCGAGATCGGCACCGTGACAGGCGGATGGCATCCGGGTCCTGGTTAGAGCAAGTGTAGGAAAGTGGGCGAACTGCTGGTCGCGCCGCCACCATGGCAGAGTCGAACAGCTCCTGCCGCCTCCCCTCCCAGAACGCACCCAGCCGCTCTGTGATCAGCGCCTTCTGACCTATGCATGGCTTGGGAGGCACGGCTAGGATGAGGCGCGGAAACGCTAAGAGTAGGAGGGTAGCGGCTTCATCTCCCGGTTGGCTCTTCAAGCGCTTTAAGATGCAACAGAGCACGTCTAAGACTCCCGACCTGGCCCGCTGTGGGATCCGGCGCACTGTTCTCCCTCCAACTGCCTCCACATTGAAAAATGTTTCCCATTCCCAAGACGTAACCCCAGCCCACGCCTCGTCCCCAAACTCCCGCGGCGTCGGTCGCTCCTGCGTGTCGGTCTCTACAAGAGACGGAATCGAGCCGAGAGCATGTGCACGCCTCTCCGCCTCAGCTGCCCGGCATACCCTCATGTGGTTCGCGACGGCCCCTCGCATAGCGGAAGTGTGGAAACACGTGTCACACGGGAAACGGGGGCACGGGGAAGGCGGCCTGGGAGGTTCTCCGTCCGCCTCTGACTCCTCCGCAGTCGCCATGGGGGTACCAAACTCCAAAAGTCGACACCACTCCTCCAACTGCTGCTCCTGGTCGTCCATCGATCCCCCCCCTGCTTGCTGCGCTCCTTGGGGTGCCCGGGGCACCCTCGGCTGCCCCCCTGGCTGCTGCGCTCCCTGGGGTGCCCCGGTCACCCCAAGCTGCCCCCCTGCCTGCTGCTCTCCCTGGGGTGCTCCGGGCACCCTCGGCTGCCCTCCTGCCTGCTGCACTCCCTGGGGTGCCCGAGGCACCCTCGGCTGCCCTCCTGCCTGCTGCACTCCCTGGGGTTCCCCGGGCACCATCCTCTGCCCTCCTACCTGCTCCACTTCCTGGGGTGCTCCGATCACCCCTGGCTGCTCCTCTGCCTGCTGCTCGCCCTGGGGTGCTCCGGTCACCCCCGGCTGCTCCCCTGCCTGCTGCTCGCCTTGGGGTGTCGGGTCATCCCCGGCTGCCCCACTAGCTGCTGCTCTCCTTGGGGTGCTCCGGTCACCCCCGGCTGCCCCCCTGCCTGCTACTCTCCCTGGGGTGCTCCGGGCACCTTCGGCTGCCCTGCTGCCTGCTGCATTCCCTGGGGTGCCCCGGGTACCCTCGGCTGCCCTCCTGCTTGCTGCACTCCCTGGGGTGCCCCGGGCACCCTCGGCTGCCCTCCTGCTTGCTGCACTCCCTGGGGTGCCCCGGGCACCCCCGGCTGCCCTCCTGCATGCTGCACTCCCTGGGGTGCTCCGGGCACCCCCGGCTCCCCACCTGCCTGCTGCACTTCCTGGGGTGCACCGGGCACCCTCAGCTGCCCTCCTGCCTGCTGCACTCCCTGGGGTGCCCCGGGCACCCTCAACTGCCCTCCTGCCTGCTGCACTCCCTGGGGTGCCCCGGGCACCCTTGGCTTCCCTCCTGCCTGCTGCACCCCCTGGGGTGCTCCAGGCACCCTCGGCTGCCCTCCTGCCTGCTGCACTCCCTGGGGTGCCCCGGGCGCCCTCGGCTGCCCTCCTGCCTGCTGCACTCCCTGGGGTGCTCCGGGCACCCCCGGCTGCCCTCCTGCCTGCTGCACCCCCTGGGGTGCCCCGGGCGCCCCTGCCCTCCTGCCTGCTGCACTCCCTGGGGTGCTCCGGGCACCCCCGGTTGCCCTTTAGCCTGCTGCACTTCCTGGGGTGCTCCGGGCACCCCCGGCTGCCCTCCTGTCTGCTGCACTCCCTGGGGTGCCCCGGGCACCCTCGGCTGCCCCCCTGCCTGCTGCACTCCCTGGGGTGCCCCGAGCACCCTCGGCTGCCCTCCTGCCTGCTGCGCTCCCTGGGGTGCTCCGGGCACCCCCGGCTGCCCCCCTGCCTGCTGCACTCCCTGGGGTGCTCCTATCGCCCCCGGCTGCCCCCCTGGCTGCTGCACTCTCTGGGGTGCCCCGGCCACCCCCGGCTGCCCCCCTGACTGCTGCTCTCCCTGGGGTGCTCGGGTCACCCCCGGCTGGCCCCCATCCTGCTGCCCTCCCTGTCGTCGCCCCCTTCGGCGCCGTGCCCGCGACCTTTCGGCTTGGCCTGTGCCGCCCGGGCTAGTGCCCCCCCCGCTGATTCTACACCTGCAACTCCTGCGACTCACTTATCAGCAACCCCTGTTGTACGCTTCCAGGCAAGGGCTGGTTCCCCTCATAGCACCCTTGCCGCCCTCCCTGCGACTGGGGTTGATTCCCTGTTTGACTCCCCTCCTGCATGCATACCGGCGGCTCCCATCGCGACTGCTCTTGCGGCTCCTCCATCTCCACCTCCAGCTCCTGCAGCTCCTGCTGCCCCCCAGCCTGCAGCTCTTGCTGCTCCCCAACCCCCTGCTCCACCTCCATCTCTGCCGCCAACGCCTGTTGCCCTCCCTGGGGTGTCTCAGTCACCCCCGGCTGCCCTCCTGCTTGCTGCTCTCCCTGGGGTGCTCCGGGCACCCTCAGCTGCCCCCCTGCCTGCCGCTCTCCCTGGGGTGCTCCGGGCACCCTCGGCTGCCCCCCTGCCTGCTGCTCTCCCTGGGGTGCTCCGGGCACCCTCAGCTGCCCCTTTGCCTGCTGCTCTCCATGGGGTGCCCCGGGCGCCCTCGACTGCCCCCCTACCTGATGAGCTCCCTGGGGTGCCTCAGTCGCCCCCAGCTGCCCCTCCGCCTGCTGTGCGGCAGCCCCGCTTCCAATCCGCCCTTGTGATTTACAGGAACGTCGACTCCCGCCTCGGCCCCGTGCCCGGGTTCTGCTCGCTTGGCTTACAGCGTCCGGATTAGCGACCTCCTGCTGCTCTCGCGCCGGCAGCTCCCGCTGCCCCCCCCCCCGCCCCCCCCCCCCCCCCCCCGGCGGCTCCCGCCGCTCTCCTGCCGGCAGCTCCTGCTGCCTTCCCGCCGGCAGCTCCTGCTGCCCTCCTGTTGGCAGCTCCTGCCACTCTTCTCGTGGCATTTCCACGTCTCGTGGTAGCTCGGCCATTTCCACGTCTGCCGCTTGCTGCTCCCTCGCCGGCAGCTGCCCTTCCCTCGGCAGCTCCGGCTGCCCTTTCCTTGGCTGCTCCCCTCCACTCTGCAGCTCCTGCTGCCCTTTGATGCACAGCCCCTGCTGCCCTCCGTTCTGCAGCTGCTGCTGCCCTCTTCTCTTCAGCTCCTGCTGCCCCCCGGCATGTGACTCCACCTCCATCTCTGTCACCAACGCCTGCTGCCCCCCAGCCTGCAGCTCCTGCTGCCCCCCGGCATGTGACTCCACCTCCACCTCCGCCACCAACGCTTGCTGCCCCCCAACCTGCGGCTCCTGCTGCCCCCCAGCCTGCAGCTCCTCCTGCCCCCCAGCCTGCGGCTCCTGCTGCCCCCCAGCCTGCAGCTCCTGCTGCCCCCTAGCCTGCAGCTCCTGCTTCCCCCCAGCCTGCAGCTCCTGCTGCCCCCCAGCCTGCAGCTCCTGCTGCCCCCCAGCCTGCAGCTCCTGCTGCCCCGCAGCCTGTATCCACTGCTGCTCTCCGCTCTGCTTGGGCTGTTGCCCTCTGCTCGGCAGCTCCTGCTGCCCTCCGCTCTGCAACCCCTGCTGCCCCGTCCCCACCGGCGGCTGCCGGGCCCTTTCCCAGACCCCCTGCTGCTTGCCCACCGGCAGGTCCCGCCGGCCCCCCACTTGCGGCTCCTCCTGCCTGTCTTTCCCCGCTGCCCTCCCGCGCTTCCACTCCTATCGCCGTGCAAGACGTGGCACGACCAGAGGGATTGCGACGTCGGTCGAGCCCGCACTGTGCGGCGTTACCCACTCGGGTCGGCCGCTTCTGCGAGTGTCACGCTGTTGCTGCAAGCGCCTACAGTGCTCTTCCCAAGCTGCCCTTGCTACCTCCGAAGCCTCCTTTGGAGCTATCGCCACCTCGTCAACCGCACCCTTGTCGCTTATCGCTCCCCCCACCTCTTTGTTGACGACCGCCGGTTCGGAGCCGTCACTCTGGCCACACCGGGTGTTGGAAGGGTCGTCGAGGGACTGCTCACATGTGAATGCTGAAATTGGACAGCCCGCTGCATAACGCGGTCTCTTGGGCGGTTTGCCAAATAGGCATAGAAGGTCTTCGTGGTAGAGGCGACGGATGCGTGGGCACCAAATCACACCCTCAGCCTCCCCCCGCCTTTTGTGACCAACTAATAGGTGGAGCGACCCACCAGCTGCTACTGTGCTTACCCCCCATTCGCCCCCAAAGGCCCCCGTCATGTCGCAGTGCAGGCCGTCCCCCACCCAGACCCCGGAATCCCCGGGGTCCAGGTCCTCCGGCATGGCTCCAAGCTCTGGCCAAGGCTCGTTCGCTTACTCTATGGTGCTCTTATGGCCAGAATTTTCCCTGCTATGGAGCGGATAACTATGCTATGGCGCGGTCTTCGTTGCTAAGGCGCGGTTCGCTACTTTGGCGCAGATTTCGCTGCTATGGCGCGGGTTCTGCTGCTATGGCGCGGGTTCTGCTGCTATGGCGCAGATATCACTGCTATGGCGCGGGTGTCGCTGCTGTGGCGCGGATATCGCTGCCATGGCGCGGTTCTCGCCGCCGTGGAGCGGATTTCTCCGCTGTGGCGCAGATTTCGCTACTGTGGCGCGGATTTCATTGCTATGGCGCGGATTTCCCTGCAGTTGCGCGGGTGTCGCTGCAGTGCCACAGATTTCGCTGCTATGGCGCGGATATCGTGGCTAGGGCGCGGATTTCGCTGCTGTTGCGCGGTTTTGGCGGCCAGTACGTATAAAGAGCCTGCTTTGACGCGAATTCTGCTGCCTAGCTGCGCGCCGGGCGGCCTAATTGCTGGCTTCGCGGCTAGATCACGGGCTGGTCGGCTAGATCGCTGCTGAGCGGCTAAATCGGGGGCCTGGCGGCTAGATCGCGCGCTGGCGGCAAAATCGCGGGCTAGGCGGCTGGATCATCGACGCGGCTGCTAGATCGCGCACTACGGCTGCTAGATCGCGCACCAAGTCATTCTCATAAGTCACTCCTACAATCTATACAAATAAGATTCACTCAAGAAAGTACTTACCCTTCTCATTGCCTCTCCGAGCCCTCATCTCTCATCTTATTTGTGCTCTGAACTCCACAACCATTCCACCTTACACAGTTTCACTTATGTCCCAAAGTTGTTTATTCACTTCCTCCTCTTTCAAGCACATTAAATTCTCATCTATTTGAACTAGAATTTATTAATGCATTCTTATGTTATTCAAGTGTGCAATTATACTCCTTTGTCCTTATATCAATTATCTACACTATCGTAGTGTTGAGCATGGCGGATAGCGTACACATTGGCATGGCACACCAAGTGGGAGAACTCTTCGTGTTAGACGCTCTCCCAACTGTGGCACTGGCTCAAGTGGCTACCTGACAAATTAACTCTCAACGTGGCATAATCGGCTTGGCCACCTCAACCACACCAACATTCAAGCTATGGCAATGAAGGGGATTGTACACGGCTTGAATTTTGTGCGCTCGGATGGAGAAGTTAAAAAGTGTCTTGGTTGTTACGGCACGCAAGCCATTCCTACTTGTTAGAATTATATTGTTATAACTGCATGTAGTTGTAGCTGTAGTGTAGTTATCCTAATCATCTTGTTTGGTGGTGCACCTTCTTGTCATGCTTCTTGCCTATTTGTACCTTTGGGTCTATAGTGACACTCCTCTCTCGACATGTTCCTCTCTAAGTCTCCTCCTACCCCAAACCCTAGTCTTAGCTTAATCTACTATGTTGACATGGTATCCGAGCTGTAAGCTCCTGGACCTACGTCTAAATGGGCCCACCCTATCGTAGCAATGACGCCCCTGCTAGCGCACAAGTGCGAATACTGCAAAAGCTTCATGGTCGTTTCTGCCAGCTCACGGAATGGCAGCTCCTACGCTCGTCGCTCGCCCCGTCGCCCTGCCGCTGCAGTCGCCGCGGCGCCCCGCGTCCCGTCGCCGCGGCGCCTCGCGTCGGCGCCCCGCGTCCCGTCGCCTCGGCGCCCGCTTCCAGCGCGGACGCCTGCTCCCAACGTCGTCGCGAATGCCACCGCCAGGCGCAAGCGCCGACGCCAGCGCAGACGCCAACGCCCGACGCGGACGCCGGTGCCAGGCGCCAGCGCGGACGGCAGAAGCCAGCGCCAGCGGCAGCCCACGCCCCCCTCCCTTCCGTGGGGACCGCCGTGAGGGGGGAGTGAGGTTGCGGGGGGAGGGTGAGGGGAAAGGGGGAGAGTGTGAGGGAGTGACGAGAGAGATTTTGCCGAGCCAGCAGCCGCCCCTCCTCCTCTCTCTCTCACTGCCGCGCGTGCTGCCGTGGGGGGGAGGGTGAGGCGGTGGCGGAATTTAGCCGGGCATCTGCTGCTGCCGCCAGCTGCTACTGTGGCACCTCCAACTGTCGCCCCTGTTGCCACCTGCCCTGTCTTCTGCTGCCTGCTGCTGGGGCCCGGCAGGTGCTGCCGTCGAGCCGCTGCTGTCCTGCTGCACGTTGCAGCCACGGAGCCTGCTCCTCAGGCGACCTGCCGCCCCTACACTTGCTCCTGCTGTTTCTATCTTGGCTGAGGGGTTGGTGCAGCTGAATCTGCCACCACTGCACTGGATGCAACTGCTCTTGCCTGCGATTGCTGTTTTCTCTGTCTGTGATGTACCCTTGCAGGTTGTGTCTTCCACTTGGCTATTCCTGCATGCAGTTATGGGGGGATGTCATAATTATATTGTTATAACTGCATGTAGTTCTAGCTGTAGTGTAATTATCCTAATCATCCTGTTTGGTGGTGCACCTTCTTGTCATGCTTCTTGCCTATTTGTACCTTTGAGTCTATAGTGAAACTCCTCTTTTGGCACACTCTCTCGACATGTTCCTCTCTAAGTCTCCTCCTACCCCAAACCCTAGTCTTAGCTTAATCTACTATGTTGATACTACGGAGTACCGCGCCGAATGGCTCCGAGCCTCTCACACTTGTTCACACGGACTTGTGGCATGCGCCACAAGGGCGGCGCGTGCTACATTCTCACGTTCCTCGACAACGCAACACGAATGTGTTGGATACGGCTTCTCAAGCACAAGGGCGCCTCGTCAATCGTGCTCAAGCAATGAGTGGCGGATATGGAGGCAGAAAGCGGCCTCATGGCGGGGCACTTTCGATCGGATGGATGTGGCGAATACAACGCTCGGGAGCTGAGCGATTGGATGAAAGGGCGTGGGACCGCGCAGGAGTTCTTGATGTCATACTCGCCTCAACGAAATTGTTTCCTTGGCAACTTGGATTCACAACCGTTGCGTGACCAAGGCATTGCCCAACAAGACGCCTCTTGAGGCTTGGAGGGGTACGAAGCCGGACGCCTTCGATCTTCACATCTTCGGGTGCACGTGCTATTATCATTTACCAGATGTTACTAGGACCAAGCCTGAGGCCAAGATGCTGGTGGCGATGTACTTGGGTTCAATCGCGAACCACAAGGGGTGCTTGTGTGGGACTTGGAGTAAGGGAAACTCGTAGTGTCGTGCGACGTCGTGTTCTATACCGTGAACTTGCCCTCGGTCATCATTTTCCCCCCACCCTTGGATGTCGTGGATGAGGTGGATGAATCTCCTACTGCTCATCCTTTTAGTTTGAGTGAGGTTGAGAATGTAATAGGTGCGTGGAGTGAGTAGTGATTTGTCAAATGTTATATGGGTTACATTTATGTAGGCTACAGTGGGTTAGCCTTTAGGGGATACAATACATTAGGGTTGCATACTTGTATCCCCAACTTTTCTCATTCAATCACTTCTCATTCTTGACATGGTATTAAGAGCTTAGGTTCTAGACCTAGGACTCACCTAAGGGCCCACCGTTAGAAGCGCCCTCGAGCGCCACATTGACCTAGCGCTTTCGAGTGCCTTCCTCCTAGTGCGCCCTCGTGCGCCTAGTCTCCTCCTGCTTCTCGTGCGCGGCTCGCTAGTGCCGCGCGCGGCCTCTTTTTTTTTTTTTTTTTTTTTTTTTTTTTTTTTTTTTTTCCGCGCGCGTCGACCTCTAGCAGCCAACGCGCGGCCGTTTCTGCGTGCGCGCCGCCCATTAGCCGCCCACGCTGCCATGCGTCGCCCGCTAGCAGCCCGTCGACCGGCCCTCCTTGCCGCGCGTAGCCCACTAGCGACCGGCAGCCCCGCCCGTAGGCCGCGACGTCGCCCTCTAGGCCGCCCGCGCGCTAGTTAGGCCCACGCACGGCCACGTCCCGCCCGCTACAGCCGCCCGTGTGCATGCCCCCCCTCGCGCACCGCCACGTAGCCCAGCCCGAGCCGAACCGCGCCGCCCGAACCGAGCCGCGCCGCCCGAACCGAGCCGCGCCGCCCAAGCCGAGTCTCGCCGGCTCACTGTTCCTGCCGTGCTACTGCTTCAGCTGCCACTATTACTGCTACTGCTACTACTGCTACTGTTCCTACTGCTGCTACTGCCACTATGGCTACTCCGTCTGTTCTGACCTTTGATGCTGAGGGCCGCCCGATTAAGTCTGAGGTTTGGTTAGATGACCTCCACCTGTTCCTCCAGATCACTGCCAAGGACGATGTCTCCCTTTATGACCACACCTCAGGTGGCGCTCCCGCACCTGCCTCTACTGCTGACAGTACTACTCGCTCCCAGTGGCAGACACGTCCTAGCCCACGCTCGCCTAGCCGTTCGCAGCCACCTGCCGTTAGATGAGCGCGAGCACTTCGGCCAGCATAAGACCGCTAAGGAGCTGTACGACGCTGTAGTCGCGTGCTACTCCTCCCCTGCCACTGCTGCTATAGGCCGTCTCTCACTACCCTACCTTTTCCCCGACTTGTCCGCCTTTGCCACTGTAGCCGACCTCATCACCCACCTCCGTACCAGTGATCTCCGCTACCGTGCCGCGCTCCCGATGTACCTCACACTGTACCATCTGGTCACCCGCCGCCCTGACTCCCTTCGCACTGTCAGGGACCAGTTTCTCGCCCTCTCCCCCACTGACCTCACTGTCGACCTCCTCGAGAAGGAACTCCTAGTAGCTGAGAAGAGCATTGTAGCTATAGGTGCCTCTCGTGGCGAACCCCGCTCCCCCTTCTTTGAGGGGTGCTCCCCCTCCCCCTTCCTCCCCTCCATTGCATCTGCTGCTGCTGTCGACTACCTCGGAGCTGAGGGGGTCGGGGCTGCGTCTACTCCTAGTGGGAGGCGCAAGGGCGGCAGGGGCAAGGGGGGCAGGGGTGGAGGAGGTGGAGGCGGGGGCGGCGGCGGTGGAGGGGGTGGGGGGGGCGGGGGTGGTGGCGGAGGTGGAAGTGGCGCGGGTGGTGGGGGGGTCAGTGGCCGCA